GTCAGGGAAATCTCACATGCCACGGAGCAACTAAGCCCGTGCGCCACAACTACTGAGCCTGCGCCCTAGAGCCTGCGAGCCACAACTACTGAGCCTGCGTGCTGCCACTACTGAAGCCCACGCACCTAGAGCCCGTGCTCCGTGACAAGAGAAGCCACCGCAATGAGAAGCCCGCACACCACATGGAAGAGGAGTCCCCACTCGCCACAACCAGAGAAAGCCTGTGCGCAGCGACGGAGACCCAACACAGCCAAAACTAAAAATAAATAAAATAAATTTATTTTTTAAAAAAAGACAAAGCAGGATTTTGCTTTAAGATGGGAAGGAAATGCCTTGATGCCTCCAGGTGCCTGGGTCAACAGGTCATCTCGAGAGAACTGGTAATCCTGGAACAAGACCCCTTTGGGGGTGTCTGCCTAGCTTCTAACCTCTTCTCTGAGAACTCCCCTTTCCACCCCAAGAAGGAAAGCTTTTATCATGAAGGGATGTTGGATTTTGTCAAGTGCTTTTTTCTGCATCTCTTGAGATGACCATGTGGGTTTTTTTTACTTTTATTAATCCAAGTGTGTTGCACTGATTGATTTTAGGGTGTTGAACCAACCTTGCGTTCCTAGGAGAGAGCCCACTTGGTCATGATGTGTAATCCTTTTTATATATTTCTGGATTCAGTCTGCTGCTATTTTGTTGAGGACTTCTGCAAATGCAAATACCTGTGGGGCCAGGCAGTAAAGAAATCAGTGAGTTAACTTAGATACAAGAGAGACCCGGAGGGCGCGGCCCTGCTAAAGGGACTCAGCTGTGGCTCGTTGTTGTCTTGCAAGAATACGAGCCCCATATTGCCTTATTTTCGTTTTTGAAGAGAAGCTGGAAATCCAGTTCTTAATGTGAACTGCCCTGATTGTTAATTGCTGGCAACTGATTTTGATTGAAGTTTTTGTATAGGGAAACACCAAAATATCAAAAGTTTAAAATAAAATGGAAAGTCCACTTCTCACCCACAGTAGATATTCACCATTCTCAAATATTTGTTTATCCTCCCAGAGAATTTGAATGCTTTTCTTTCTCACACAGATGGTAGCATTATCAGGTACCTTTTCCTCCACTTTGGCTTTTGTGATATCTCCATACCAAGTCACAAAGAACTCCCAATCCATTTTTACATCTTCATAGGATTCCACCCATTCATGCATGTGTGGAGGTACTGTAACTGAACCAATCCCTAACTGATGGATACTTAGGTTCTTTCCAATCTTTTGCTATTTCAATGAGCAGTGAATAAACTTTTGCATTTATTGTTTCTCTTGTGTGTGTATATATATTGGGAGGCTAGATCCCTAGGGGCGGAATTGGGCCCTAGGGGTCTAAGGGTATATACATTTCTAATTTTGATAGGTACTGCCCATGGACCTCCATGAGAATCATGTCCCACCACCAACGTATGAGAATGCACATTTCTTCAAAATTTCACCAACAGTGTCATCAAAAACGTTTTATTTTTGCCTGCATAAGTGAAAACTAGTTTCAATATTCTTTATACTTACAGATTGAGGTTGAGTATCTTTTCATATCTTTAAAATGACTTTTGCATTTTCTTTTCTGTGAAATACCTATTCATAACCTTTGCCATTTTTCTGGGGGTTTTCCTCTTATTTATTTGTAAGAGATGTTTATATATTAGGGAGATTATCCCTTTGTAATACAAGCTGCAAATATATTTTCCCAGGTTGTCCTTTGTCTTTTTGGTCATTTGTCTTTTGAATTTGCTTAGGATTTTGTCGTTCTGTTTTAAGATTTTTTTTTTTTTGGTTGAATTTTCTGTTTGTTTTTGCCATGCAGAGGATTTTAAATTTTTTAATATAATCCAATTCTTCATCTTTTATGGCTTCTGGATTTTTTTTTTTATGACTCTCCAATGTTTCTGCCTCCTTATTCTATAAATTCATTTTACACATTTAACTCCTCCTTAATCCATTTGGAATTTTGGAACCGTTCCTGGTGTACAGAATGAGGTATGGAACTCACTTTATTTTTTCCAGATGGTTACCCAGTTGTCTCAACATGAAAATAATTTTAAAACAGTTCAGGGCAAACCATACAGTTCTGCCAACCTGTGGGCCACCGTCTTGAAACCTCTTACTTTGAACAGACGTGAAGTTCACATCCACGGGGAAAGTGGGAATGATCGACCAAAGGGCCTTGCTCTTATGAAGACTTGCAATGGCCTATACCCTGGTGCCCCTGTCCAAAAACAGCCACCAATGAAAGAAAAAGAGAAAGAAAACGATCACCCTTTCGTAGGCTGCAAAGTGACCCTTGCCGTGGGCTTTGGGTTTGACCCTCTCAAGTCAGCGTCAAGGCTTTCGCTGATTTGCTAGGAGACACATCCGACACTTGCTCTAACGGGGGACGCCCATCAGGTCACCTGGCACCAGGACAGAGCACCAGCAGCTCAGAGGACTGAGGTCAGGAATTCCTGGCAGGCTCTGTGTCCTGGCTTTCCCTCCCATTAAGTGTCTCCAAGTGTCCCTGAAAGTTCATTGTTTGGCACTGCAACTCCAGGAAACTTGGAAAGGCCAATTCTAGCTCATTAGTCACCTTTTCCCCATAGATATTGTCATACAACCTTACCCCTCCTCGCTGCCTTGTGGGGGGGTATCCCCAAAAGAGTCCCAGGACAGCAAAACCAGAGGGTGCGAGTTGGACTCTGGCAGCTCTCACTCTCCCGTGACTCGTTCTTACTCTGAAATGTAAGGCAGTTCTGAAGCCACTCACTGCTGAGGCTCTTGGATGCCACGAGCCAACTGAGAAACGCAGGACAGTGGGCCTTTCCCCCACCCAGCCTGGTCACCATCACAGCCACCTGTTACCCAGTGCCCATCGCCGGGCCCTGACACAGGTCATCTCATTTCCTCCTCAATACACCCCAACAGCCAGGTGCCATTATTCTCTGTATCTTACTGTGGAAGACCTTACTGAGGCTAGTCTCAGAGAAGGTAAGCAACTAGCCCAGGGCCACACAGCTGAGATGTGCAGGAGATGATGGCGTTACCCAGGCAGGCTGACCTCACAGCCTGTAAGCTCTTAGTCATGGTCCTGTGGGTCTCTATTTTAGGACACCTCTGTTGCTGTGGCTTAATCCTGTGACATTCCCCTTCACCTCTCCCAGACCCTTGGTTCGCCCTCTGGAAGGAGAAAGAAGCCTGGCCATCTTCAGCAATCAACATATACCCGGTTTTCCAGAAACTGCTGTCCTCACCACTTGTCTGGAAAAGGAACTTTCCATTGAATCTCTGCTCTCCCTGAGCAGACCAGGGCACGGCGAAGATCTAAACTTCCTTCGTTAAAAACAGTCCCTATCAATACATCACGGCCACGACAATGAACGGTCAGCAGCCACTGGGATGCCGCCACAGGCTCAGTGTCCGCCGGGGGAGCCAGGGACAAAGCTGACACGCTGGGTATACACACGCCACTCCGCCTCCAGTTACAAGGTACAGAAGCCGGCGACACCAGCACCGTCTATGCTGTGAGATGTCAGGGTAGTGTTAGTTTGGATGGGGGTGGGGCACTGGCTGGAAGGGAGCACGAGGGGGCTTCTGGGTGCTGATCATGCTTGTGTGTTTCTAGATCAGGGTGAGGGTTAAGCAGATGTGTTCAGTGTGTGAAAATTCAGTGACCCATACACTTAGGTGCACCTTTCCGCCTGTAAACTTTACTTCAATAATTTAAAATAACGTCTTGACATTTTTAAATAAAGAATTATGTTTACTTTACAACAATTATCTCCACAAAACGCTGGCTGTACTTGAAACAAGGGGTTCACTTATATCTTTTAGTTCAAAAAATTGTCCTAAGGAACTGCCCTGGTGGCGCAGTGGTTAAGAATCCGCCCGCCAATGCAGGAGACACGGGTTCGAGCCCTGGTCTGGGAAGATCCCACATGCTGCGGAGCAACTAAGCCCGTGCGCCACAGCTACTGAGCCTGTGCTCTAGAGCCCGCGAGCCACAACTACTGAGCCTGTGTGCCATGGCTACTGAAGCCCACACGGCTAGAGCCCATGCTCTGCAACGAGAAGCCACCACAATGAGAAACCTGTGCACCGCAATGAAGAGTAGCCCCTGCTCGCCGCATCCAGAGAAAAGCCCACGTTCAGCAACGAAGACACAACACAGCCAAAAATAAAATAAATAAAAAAAAAAAAAAAGAAAAGCCAAGTGATTTGCTTATATAAAAAAAAAAAGAACCCGCCTGCTAATGCAGGGGACATGGGTTCGAGCCCTGGTCCGGGAAGATCCCACATGCCGTGGAGCAACTAAGCCCGTGCGCCACAACTACTGAGCCTGCGCTCTAGAGCCCACGAGCCACAACTACTGAGCCCGTGTGCCACAACTACTGAGGCCCGCACGCCTAGAGGCCGTGCTCTGCAACAAGAGAAGCCACCGCAATGAGAAGCCCCTGCACCGCAACGAAGAGTAGCCCCCGCTCACCACAACTAGAGAAAGCCCGCGTGCAGCAGCGAAGACCCAAAGCAGCCAAAAATAAATAAAAATTTAAAGAATTGTTCTAAAATTGGCAAGACTCAACTCTTTTTTGCTTTGCTACCACTATCTCACTAGATTCATGGTGTCAGATTTCCTTGAAATTCAAATGCTGGTCTGCAATACAGGGGTGTGTGTGTGTGTGTGCAATACAGGGGTGTGTGTGTGTGTGTGTGTGTGTGTGTTCTTGGCTCTGGGAGGGATTCCAGAAACTAGAAATATCCATCACCAAAGTGAGGAATCCAACATTTCAGAACAATAGCAGGAAACTCATCTACATGAGAAGAAATTAAAGCAAACACACCTTGGAAGACTCCAGAGAATCTGAATGATCTCTGCATTCTGCTGGGAATCTGAAGGCCAGCTGCACCCTCCCCTCAGGCGAGGGGCTTCATAATAAGCAGATTCTGAGGATCAGGCTTGAGCCAGCTGCAGGAGCACCCATCAAGGAAACATTTACACCCAGGCGACCTGGACACGTTTATTGAGACGGTTCACAGGGCCAGTGGGCACTGGGGTTCACACAAACCGGCCAACACGCATGGACCTGGAGCCACGCACCCTGGGGGCACCGCGCAAGCCCCTCACAACGTCTGTGCAAAGCCCTTCCAAGGCAAAGGGAAATCCAAGGCCCCACAGCCCATCCCCCTGGGTGACCACCTTGTCCAGAACACCAGGCAGGACAAACGCCGGTGGAGAAGGCCTTCTCCAGCTCATCTCTGAGGCACTGCCCACCTGTGGGTTCTAAATGCTTCTCCAAACCCTGTGGGCCCATGTGAAGCAAGGGGGAAAATTCAGAAAACGCATCCACAACAATAAAACAAAACAAAACAAAATGAACAATCTGTGCGGCACACAGATTTCACTTCCCGACGTCCCTGACGGCAGGACTGCAGGGCTCACAGACGCCTTTGGCAGCTGGGGGCTCGGCGCGTTGCCTCCCCGGCGTCCACAGGAAAATAGTCCTCGGTTCTGTACAACGCGGGCAGCTCGAAGGTCGGGGCCGCCGGCGTCCACAGCTTCTGGAATGACAGAAAACCAGGTGCCCCATCAGCCTCGTGAAGCCACTTGTTCTGAGACCCAAGAACTCCACTTGCAGGAGTTCATCCTGCAGGGAGAATAGCCCAGTTGACCAAAGACTCCACGATACTTTGGTGACACTGCCTGTGACAGCCAAAGCCGGCCCATTTGAAACGTGGTGGGGAGCTAGGTTGGCAGGGCTGGTCCGTGTCCACGGAGCCCTCTGCAGCATTAGAGAGAGCCGGGCTCTGAGGAGGGATGACTGAGAAAGCCAGGTGTACCTCGTGCCACCGCGTGCCAGGAAGGGCCTCGAGCCGAGACAGCGCCGTGGGCCGGGCCCTGGGAAAGCTGGGGTCGGGCCGATGCTTCTTTGAATGTGCACCCATCTATGCTGCCTGAAGGCTGGGCCATATGCATGTGTTACTTTTTTTTTTTAATTGAACCATTTTAAGAAGTGCTTACTTATTTCTGGTGTGGATTTTTGTTGCAGGGAGGTTAGGGAGGGGAGATTTTGCATCAAGCAACCCTCCTCAAGCTCTAGTAACCCTGCGGGTTACCCAGGGATCTCAAGGTCAAACCGGTTTTACAGAGGACGGCCTCAAACAGTGCTTCTCAAATGTGACTGCACAGGGAACCTCCTGGGAGACTAATGGAATGCTTATGCCCAGGCTCCGCCCCCAGAGTCAGATGTCGTTGGTCTGGGGTGTGGCCTGGGCATCAGGGTATTTCAAAGCTCTCAGGTGATTCTCACGTAGAGCCAGGGCCCATCCCAATAACTGTGACCTGCTCAGAGGAGGGAGGGTCTACTAGGCTCCGGGGCAGAACAGCAGGGAGATGGGCAGGAGTGTGGGGCTCCAGGGGTGCAGAGGGAGGAGGGCTCTGCACGTCTCCACCTGGGGTCCCTCTCACCACCCTTCTGCCCTTCCCCCGCAGCTCCGTCTACTGTTTGATCTCCAGGCCACCTCTGCCCGCTCAGCCCAGAGCAAGCTATGCCCCAGCCTTCAGCTGCAGTCACAGGTGCCAGCGCACAGGTGTGCGGCTCCAGCCCGTAGTTAATAACAGCTCCCCAAAGCCCAGCCCGTCCACGAGCTCTGCGCTGCACTGGATGTGTACTTACCCACCCCCATGCTTCCTCCCCACGGTGACACCGTGACCATCCCCCCTTTCGTGGGTGGTTGGGGGAGCCTACGCTCCGGGAGGTGCCTTACCCACCTCCCACCTGTCCGAGTATCTGTCCACTCAACCACTACCTCATTGAATGCCCAGGGCCGGCCGAGGGCACAGCTGTGAAGTAGACGCATCCCCAGCCATCATGGGCCTCCCTCTCTATCTGGAGACAAAGGAACCAATAGGAAAACACCACCAACGTGCGATGAAGCACCAAGGCCCCTGGAACCCAGAAGAGGCGCATCTCATCCTGGAGGGATCAGGAGGTATTCAGAGGCTGAGCACCTAGGACCCCAACCCCCCGGCCGGAGGGGCTGCATGGAGGGGTAGCCGGAGGTGCAGTGGTCCAGGCTGTGGACACCCTGTGCACAGTGCTGAGTGGTGTGGTGGGCCGCGGGCACTGAAGCAGCTCAGTCTGGAGTCAGGCCGGGTCAGAGTGTAGACAGGGATGATGCTGCAAAGCAGGGCCAGATGATGTGGGCTCCTGGAGGCTGAGCTAAGAACTTTATCCTAAGAGACCAGGGACGGGGAGAGAGGGAGAGAGGGAGAGAGGGAGAGAGGGAGAGAGGGAGA